GAGTTTAGTTTGTAACTAAGTATCTATCAGTAGCTCTTAGCCTAAGGGTATTAAAAGATTTAATAATTTTCCAAATTTCCTTGGAATCTATTTTCCAAATTAAGCTTGCGTTCAAGTTCTTCCATGAAAATGAAGGATCCATGAAAATTAAGGATACTAAAGAAATCAGGAAAAATGCATCTATCTTGAACAATGTTATCTTTTTGATAATATGTGATATACAATAAGTGTCTAACTACATAGGAAGGTGGCTGAATGGTTTCAAATGGAATTATAAACAGGTTTGGCCAAATGTCCATTGGTTGATATCTGCTATAAACAGTCTTAAAGTAGATAAGATTAGTTAGCAGTTATATAACAAGAAGGGAGACAACGACAGTAGACAGAAGCAACAACACTGAAGTGGTAAGAATTTAAAAATATGGAACTAAAACATCACTTTAAGTTGGCAGCTGAGGTTATGACACACTTTCTAGTGATCCTAACTCTTAGAGTATATTGAGAGTGAAGTTTTATATGAACATGACTACTAAGTTAAGAAACTGGGTATCAGTATTATGTTTCAATTTAGAAACTTTGGGGTGCAGTTATGTATGTTTTAACAGACCTTCCAGGTAATTTTGATGCATGCTAATATTTGAGAAAGCCTAGGGTTAAACTGTAATGACTTCCACAAAGATCACAAAATCAAATACTTAAAGATCAATATGTGCCCAAAGCTTTTGTTTTCTTCCTGAGAATTTCCTTCTTAGGATACTAGTAAGCATGACCACTGTTGACAGGCATGTTTTATATCCTGACCTTCAAGGGGAATATTTGCATGAAAATTAAAACTTGCAATTTGTAAAGGAACAGACTATTCTAGAGTTGGAAGGGGAGTTCAATAACCTGAAGGATACAAAACTAAAAAAGAATAAAATATTGTCATTTTTAAAACTGGGGTATATCGGGAGTTCTACTTCTTCTTGGATACAGATAGCTGGAACTAGTGTTGCTTCTACCCCAACAACAAGAAAAACCCATGTAAACTTTAAAAATCACAACTTCGCTGAACACTTCAAAGAGCTGAAGTCAATAGTCAACCAAGCAATATGTAATGCACTGAATCTCAGCCCCCTCCAAGGAGAAATGAGACACAAGCCCCTGCTCACCACTGGCAGACCATGGAAGGAAGAGATGTGCTGGGTGCCATACAACCAGGCAACAAGTAGTCAGCTATAATTTTTAATAAACTGGTAGAAGTCAGGTGTGGACTAGAGTTAAGAATACAAAGCCCCTGGGAGCTATAGACACAGGGGATGTTAGAACCCACTTAAAGCCTCTTCTCTTGTTCATGAGAAAAATCATGGGCGGTTCAGAAGGCCAAGTGTCTTCCTCAGTGTTGCAGGTTTGGAGGAGTGAAGTGGTCACTGCTGTGAGCAAAATATGAAGCCCTGATGCAACCCTTCCCTAGAAAACAAACCTTAAGCTCCTGGGAGAGGGAAAGAAAACCCTGTCACCACGAGGGCAAAGATACAGACCCACTGTAGCCAAGCAAAAAACAAAAAAACAAAATAAGATCAACAAAACCCCACAATAAACCATGTCTGCCTCTGGAGAAGCACTGGTCACAGGATCCTACAGCAAGAACAGTGGAGACCTATTATCACTCTGGAAGGGACAAGAAACTCTCGTGGAAGACCTACCAGAGATATGAGATGGAGTTTGATTGCCACAGAAGAAAGACACAGGACCACTGAGAAACACCACCTCCAAGACCTAAATCTTCAGGGCCTACAGTGGAAGCTGTACTAAGACAATAGTGAACCCCTTGTCCTCGCCACCAGAACAACAAGCACCCAGTAAGAAGAAACTGCAGTCTACCACTGGGGAAGGCAAAGTGTGGAAAGGAAAATAACTCATGGTGGAAATAAACAGGGAAGCTAAAGCTAAAGTAGAAACATTGTGAAATGCTGCTGAAATCCCAGCCTTCAATTTTTTAAAAAAAGGAAATTAAGGCCAATGGTGCACCAAAGACCATCATAAGAACAAGATAACCCAAATTCAGCTTTACTAACTAGATATTTCCTCAATACCATCCACTCCCACACACACACATGTGCTAATAGCCTCAGTAGAGATGTGTCAAGTTCCAGACATAAAGTCTCTACTGTCATCCACATAATGCTGGGTATATAATAAAAAATTACATGACACACAAAAAGAAAAAATACACTACTAAAACAGAAAATAACAAACAGAACAGACACAGACATAACCCCTATGTTTAAACTATGAGACAGAAGTTAAGTAACTAAGATTGGGGCACCCAGATGGCTTTGTCAGACATGGAGCCTGCTTGAGATTCTCTCTCTCCATATCCCTCTGCTCCCACCCCTGTCTGCATACTCTCTCTTTAAAAAAAATAAATTAAAATAACTATAATTACTATGCTAAAGATGATAGTAAAGGATCACTTTCTTATACTACACACAAAAATAAATCCAAAATAGATAAAGACATAACAGTGAGACAAAAACCCATCAAAAATGCTAGAGGAGAACATAAGCAGCAACCTCTCTGACCTTGGCCACAGCAACTTTTTGCTAAACATGTCTCCAGAGGCAAGGAAAACAAAAGCAAGAATGAACTATTGGGACTTTATCAAAATAAAAAGTTACTGCACAGTGAAGGAAATGATCAACAAAACTGTAAGGTAGCTTACAGAATGGGAGAAGATATTTGCAAATTGTTTATCTGATAAAGGGTTACCATCCAAAAGAACTTATTTAATTCAACCACCTGAAAACCAAATAATCCAGTTAAAAAGTGGACAGAAGACATCAGAGCTTATTCTATCTGTGCACATGCACAAGAAAGACCATGTGAGCATACAACAACAAAGTAGCAGTCTACAAACCAGGAGATGAGGCATTACCAGACACCAACCTGACAGGACCTTAATCTTAAACTTCTAGCTTCCAAAACTGTAAGAAAATATTTTTTTTAAATTGTTTTAGCCTCTCGGTCAGCCTCTCAAAATACCATTGATGGTATTTTGGTTTGGCAACCCAAGCAAACTAATAAACATGAAAGCTATGATAATGAGTCAAATTAAAATGCTAGAATTAAAAAACATGGTAAGAAGGAAAAATAACGTGTTAATAATCTCACCAAGGAGACTCAAGAGAGCCAAAGAAATAATCACTGAACTTGAATACAGGTCCACAGAAATTTATGCAAACTTAGACTCAAGAAGAGTGAAAGAAAAGTAACAGAGCACCCAAGATTATGGTATAATATAAAACAGCCTAGTATATGTGTAATTTGAATCACAGAAGGAAAGGAGAGACTATAGTAAAAAAGAATTTTGTGAAGAAATAATGGCAGAGAATTTTCAGAAATTCTTAACAAACATCATAATACAGATGCAAGAAATTCAGAGAATTTTGAGAAAAATGAATCCCACAATATTTCTAAACACACGTACACACCTAGATACATTATATTCAAACTTCTCATAAAAAATGTTGAAGATAGCAATAGGGGAAAAAAAGGAATAAACATAGTATTTATAACAGGCTTATGAGAAACCATGAAAGTGAAAAAATAATGGAGTCAGTGTTTAAAGTATAGACAAGAAAATGAAATTGTCATCCTAGAATTTAATACCCAATGAAAATATCCTTAAAAAAAGTGATACTGCAGAGACATAACCTACACAAAATATAAAATGAATCTGTCTTCAGACAGAAGGAATGTTATAGCAGACAAAATGTGGATCTACAAAACACAATGTCTTCAGAAAAATCTATTTTCCAATTTCTTTAGCTAACCGCACTGTTAAAAAGAACACAGCCCATAAGCTTCAGAATGGTCCTCTCAATCAGGACCTTGGAAAGGACTGGCAAATAATCATGTTCCCACAATACTGTCACCTTACCATCTAGCATCTTTCCAAACAGTGGCTAAAATAAACTGACGTTTCTGTTTGGATAGATATTTACTGATATTTTACAAATACAGTGATTGCAAGAAACTCCAGGTAGCTGTGAAGGTCTTGGTGACTTTCTCTAATTTTATTATTATAATGTCACATATAAGTAATGCTTCTCCCCTTTCCCACCAAATTCACTGAAAAGAAAGGTTAAAAACAAAGTTTTAAGATTAACCTAATGGCTGGACTGGTCCAGTAAGCTACCATATGTTAGACCGGTAGCCTCTTCCTCAAGACAATGTCTTGTCCTTTATTATGATGCTACTGGACTGTCCTGAGCCTTGCTGGCTGACATTTCCTCCTGATTTTGACAACAGCATTTATGGAAAATTATTAAAATTTCTATATTCTTATTATTATTTCCTTACATTATACTCTTCAACTATCTACAGCTTGTGATAAAACTTAATATATATTACCAGATGATCAGGACAGAACACAAGACAAAGAACACAGGAGGAAAGACAAACATTAAATTCATATTTGAGTTTAGGGGAGTTCTAAGGATACCAGTATCCATCTAGGGAAGGCAATGATGTTATGAAAAAACGATTTGTCATTACAAGACAACATTTTTTATAAAAAAATACATGCATTTCATCTATGAGGTACATAGAATTGACACAAGCAGTACTATGTTATGTTTATGTGAACAGTTATTTTATTTCTTTCTTGCTGACTTTCAGATGATTTCTTGTTCCTTTCTTTATTTTCCCCTCTTGGAAAGATCATGACCAATAACATGTTAGGAAGTAGAGCCTACTGTTCTGCAGTAACTTTGATAATGCCTTTTAAATCATCAAGGATAAGGACACCATATGAAAACTGTTTGGCTGCCATTACTGCATCTTGATCTAGGAAAGCAGGGATTTGTTCAGTGTAAGTAGGAAAGCATAAGAAAGAAAATCTTTTCCAGCTTCCCACTAATTCAATTCTATTAAATAAATATTCATTTTACTTCCATGTGCTGGCCACTAAAGACAAGGGCAGTCAGCTTAACAGAAAGAAGGACGAGCTCACTTACTAATTTGATTCGGTGGCCAGGAGTGGTACTGATTTCCCAAGTGCATTCCTTCCTGCTTGGGTACTTGTCTGGCCAGTTGGGGCTGGTGATGAAGCCACTTGGACTGTGGATCTTCTGTTCACACTCAGCTGTGCCGATAACAATAATATCAATCAGTGTGGAAATCTAGCCCAGGATTGGTTTAGCAAGAAAGTAGCCTATTTGCCCCCTATGCTGCGGAAAGATTTTCCTGAATACTAACTAATCACCACTCCAGTCTCTTGTTATCATAGTCGTCTGCTTTGGCAAACATGTCACTATCATAATCAGGCAATGTTTGTTTTCTAGATCACATGAAATTAAGTGTTTACAGTGAGTTAGGTAAATGCCTAAAAGAAAATGGAATAGTTTAAAATGCTGGATCCGAAAGCTCTGATTTTAACAAAGCAACATATATTGACAATTGAGGTTATCAACACTTGGCATGTGCAGAATATTTAATGCAATGCTACAAATGATAATCAATGGACTATGCCATTTTCAATTCATCTTTTTCTATTAGCAGAAACATCATTTACAGCTAATTAACATCATTAAGCCATTTTATGGATCATGTATTTACATTTTCTCTCACCCTTAAAGCAAACACTTGAATACCTAAACCATAATTTTAGCTGCTGAAGTAAATTAACCCTAATTTTATCAAAGTAAAATGCAGCACTAAGGAGAAAAATAAGTGAACAGCTACTAGCCATGGAAATAGCTTCTAAACTGATTTTGAAAGCTATTTCCTTCAATTCTTTTGAAATTTCTTTCATAATTTCTTTCACAATTTCTTTCACAATTAAAATGACCTTACCTTAAAGGAGACTATTCCACATTGTAAATATCAAACTTCAAAAATGATTAATGTCAAAAAAATTTTTAATATCCTCAGGCTCTATCCATTCTCTGTAACTTATGAAGCAGCCCCCTACACATCTTAGTTTAGACAGGGAACAATTTGTTGTGTATTATGTATCCCATTCTAAAACACAACTAATTCTCTGAAATTTTCCAACAAATCTCTTTGGGGAAATTCTTTACTATATGGACAAAATACCTGTTACACTGTAGGGCTATGCAATAAGGGTATAATGCCCAACATAAATGTGTTGTTGCATTCCTTACGACTAGATCTTTCTTTTAATTGTGATAGGTTTCCATAGGATATTTGACTCCTAACATAGGAATACAAAAATAAGAGAAGAAATTCAGCTCCTTCCAAACAATGTAGGATCATGTAACAAGTCTCAGAATCCAGATCTTAACGAGTTTCTAAGTTCAATTTTCCCTATTCTTGCTTTGCCATATGAAATATGGAGTCCCCAGGATATGGAAATAGCCTATAAGACAAAGCCAGGAGGCTAACTACTAAACTCTGGAAGGTGTCCATACATAGCAGAGGAAAAAGAAAATCCCAACCCTTTACTGGCAGTAAAAATGAACTTTATTAGGGATGCCTAAATACCATTCTATCTAAAACCAAGTTTCCTATGAAATCCTTTCTTGAAAATACATACTGTAATAAGGAATTAAGGTCCCAGTTTATGGTTGTTACTTGTAAGTCATAGGGTACATGCATACTCTACAAAAGTTGTCTCTTTTTTCTCTGAATTATCTTTCATAACTGTAAAATAACTGCACTAATCCCCAGCATGTTGATTTAACAGAATACTGTACTAAGTTATAAATATCAGAGTCCTTACAGGTTTATCTTCATATAAGAAAGTAAAAAGAGGGGAAAAAATCCTGCTTGCATATGATTCTGAGCAATATCATTGGTTCAGTGAAAAAAAAAAATAGAAAAAAAAAACTGACATGTGACAATATTTGAATGGAACAAGGGTCAGTTCAGGATATCCTGTACTATTCCAATGTTCATACAAAGAGCTGCTATCTAACTATGATTCTAGCCAGGAACCTACCAATCTCTATGATATAGCTAGTAACTAAAGTTATAAAATCTGCCATTATAATTCTTCCAAATTGGGCATAAATCCAAATTAAGTAGAAAACTGAGGAGCAGACCCTCAAAGGATGAAATAAAAAACCAAGTAACTGTTTTTTGTTCCCATCTACCTCAAACTGGCTAAGGAGATAAAGGTATATATTTATAAAAATATAAAATCAGAATATTATAAGATGTTGGGGACAAAAACTGATAGACTACTATTGTGCTATTGGGATGGGTTTTTGTTTTTTGTTTTTTGATTTTTTGTTTTGTTTTGTTCTGTTTTGCTTTGTTTTGTCAAACCCATGACTTAGAACTTTAAATGGCATAGTATCTACCATTTTCAAATATCTTTCTTCTGGTAGGCATTTGAGTTTGATACGCTTGGTATTTAAAGTGCCATTACTCATGTAGCACTTACATGAGATATTCTGGGGAGGGAAATTAAAACAAATGCAAAACATTTAGCGGAAGTCAAGTTTAAATATGGAGACTGTTATAGGGTCTCTTCTACAAGAACCTGGGCATAATGTGGAGCTTTTCTGACTGCCAGATGACATCATAGCCACTTCGATGTCTGTTACACAAAGTTATTCTAATGCCACCCATATGTGAAGTGCAGAACCTTTAGGTATTATGAGGTTTCCAATATTATGCCTTGGATATCTCAACACTGCACTTTTTTTTTTTTTTGACATTTGAATGGTCAACAATGATATCAGTCATTGATATGATTCACTCTACTTGGAAGCAGTGCTTGACCCAAACTACATGAAATTCTAGATGTTGTCAAGAAAAGAACACTCCTTCATACCTTCCTTGCAGTCATGTTTATTTTCATGCAGCACAAATCCGTTACGGCACTGACACATGTAGCTTCCCATGGTGTTGACACACTCATGTTGACACCCACCATTATCCTTAGAGCATTCGTCTTTGTCTAGCAAAAAGATAACCCCACAGTTTAGTAAATAGCTTTAGAAACAAAGGGTAACAAAGGAGAGTCTTTTAGTTGTGGTTAACACTGGCAAAGGGTAAACTAAGTCACAGCTTTCTTTGATCCCAACATAAAACAAAACCTCCCAAATTTTTAGTGTCTTAGTTTTACCCATTCCTTGTTTAGCTTGGAGCCCTGTACCATGAATTGAGTTTTTAACACTGCTGACTCTAAGATAACAATTCATAGCCTCTTTCACTCCAAGGCTGGAGTAGGAGTTTTGAGTAGGAGACAGGAAATGAATGAATCGCTTTCCAACTAACCTTAAACATTTATTGCCAATTTTTAAAAATAAATTTAAAATCGTGAGTATTTTGAATAAATGCAAGAACTGGTGATGTATTATGTATTATATACTATATATATATAAATGCAAGAACTTCAATATATTAGCCATGGTGTAGAGACAGAGACTAAACAAGGTTCCAGAATTTATATATAATCACTGTAAAAAAAATCACTCAGTATGACTACTGCAGTTGATTTTTTTGCTGTTGTTAACTTTACTGTTATTGTTAGCACTAATGAATCTGAATACTTCATAACATCCAAGACAGAAAAAGGCATCATTAGATTATCCTAAAGAAGTAATTTAATTTATATATTTGAAACAAATCTACTCCAGCAGACCAGTTTATTAATAAATGATTCCCTGAAAAGGCTCTTAGTGTGCTAGAGGTAAAGGTTAGAATAGGAAATATGAGCTTTAAGAAATAGCCAGCACATTCACTACAGGGAAAAAGGCCAAACTAGATTAGCAGGCAGTCAATCCAGTGAGAGGCATCAGCCACCATGCTATGTCACTCAGCTGTCATTCCATGGCTGGCTTGTCCATTAAAGTCAAAACTGGCAGATTGCTCCTGACACACATAGATGATGACACATCACTCAGACTTTCATCACTCCCACAGCATAGAGAACGAAAAGGACACATGACAGTCATATCAGAGGTGTGTTGAATTCAAATTTTGTATTGTCAACTGATTTTTCCAATGACAATTTGTGAGCTCACAGTAGCACACAGATAGCTAAAGCTATTTTTGCCTTTTTATCAAATCAATATTCACTCTATGGAAATGGGCTTAGGAAAAGCATTTTTATAGAAAAATCTGATCATAATTTTTAAGGACATATCTATTTTTTTTTTCATTTTTGGAGATTGATTACATGACATAGCACACACATGCTTCTGGGATATATTCGTGTATTGGCTATATCAGAATACTCCAAAGGCATACAGGCAGTTCCAAAGTTTGAAAGAATATATCAGAATCAATACATCTGTGATTTATGTGTTCTCTAGCTACCTTTAACACCTCCATTACATTTTCTTTTACTTATTATGTAGCCTAAGCAAAATAAAAGTAGAATAAAGAAAACCATTCTCTAAAAGAGCATCAACATGTATAAGAAATAAAAATACAGAATTGGCCTTGTAAAATTAATTTAGGGAAATTTATAATCATTTCAAAGCCCTGTTCCCTTCGTTGTGTCAACAGTGAAAATCACAGTTTATGAGTTATGAATGGCTTATGTAAAATGGGTGGATGGTAGGTCATACTTCTAACCCTGATGGTGTCAGCCACTTGCATTTTCCAATTCAGACAGCCACGCAGTAAATGATTTAAATGTATTAGTTTATTATCTAAATTCATTAATGTAACTTTCAGAGATGCTTTAGTTAAAATGCTTCAGAAAAAAAATATATCCTCATGAGTGGATACACTTTCTTTGTTAAACGGAAATAACCAATTTAAAATTTCTGGTGCCAGAATTACTTACACGGAAATAGTTACATATTTCCTATGAAAATGTTTATATAATGAATGTTTGATGATCTTGAAACAACACCTGAGAGACTGAACTTTAGTTGTACTATAGGTCAACCAGACTTATGAGAGCTCACTGGAAATCTAACAAGTGTAACTCAATTAGTTTAGAGAAAATGAGTTCACATTTGCAATTGACTGGTAAACAGATTCTAAGTGCTCAGTGAACCAGTGATGGCAGGGACTGCTGGAATCCTTTCATCTGGACCTGTTTGGATTGCCATTCATGAGCAATATAAAAAAGTTAAAATACAAACATGAACACAAATTATTATTCATGCATTTTTAAGTCCATAGTTATTTTATAATCAAAGCAATTCCAGTACATTAAATATTCCTAACATTTAAACTTCATCCTAGTGGAAATCTTAAGCCACTAGGTTATATTTCTAGGAAGAATTATTTTCTTTAGATTTGACAGAATGTATTATGATAGAAAATATCAGAATGTAATATTACCACAATAGCTGTGGTAATGGTAACTAAAGAGAAATAAAGTTGAACGCAAAACTGATTACATTGCATAGTATATTTATGTTGTTTGGGGAAAATAATTAATAATTTTAAAATAATCTTTAGAGGAAAAAGAAGGGGGAAGAAAAAAGAAGAAAAAGATTTTATACAGTCATTACTTTCTAAATATCCATAGTACTTTTTCTCCATTGATTAGTGTTTCCTGTCTTCATCCGCACTTTCCGATGGTGCCTAATATAATTAATGTCACATGGAAATTAAGAGTAATCACAAGACACTACTAGAATATGTATATTCTATATGTATATTCATCTAGAGTTCAGCTAAAATTCAAAACTGGCTTATGGCTTATGCAAGATGTGGACTAATGCAAACAACAACTAAAAGCAGCAGAGGAAAGTTATCATGCCCAGCAAAGTAGCATATATAACTGTGCCTCCATGTGTCAAAAACTCATATGAAAAGAGAAAATTTCAGCAAACACAGAAATACTTAAAATTATGCACACAATTTACATCATGCAGACAAAGAAAGCTATTTATTTCAACAAACATTTTAAGTCATCCACAGTAGTGAATACAGTGAGGTTATTTTTAAAATATTTGTTCTATTTTATTTTTTTTTTAGATACTTGTTTTAATGAAAGTAAATAAATTATTCTAATTCAAATGAATGTGCTTTCAAATTATCTACTGATGAGAAACAGCAACATCACAAAAGACAAAGTCCATGAATATATTCTGGACTTCTTATGAATGAAAGTCACCAAACTAGAGAAAAAAGCTATTAGCAAACACAATTATGTTTTCATTTTCTTTCCCTTTTCCCTCTTAGGACATACAAACTACAAATATCTTGAACAATGAAAATCCAAAAGAAAGAATGGAGGATGATGCATTTTTACTATTTCTTAGAATGTCTGCATAGTAAATTTAATATTTGGGAATACTATCAGTAACTCATTTGACATTTCCCAGTATCTTCATACTTGAGGCACAAAAATTTAAGAATAATTTTTATTAGTGAGAGAAACAAATGTTTTGCTGAGTAAAAATAAAACATTTATTTTCTGCAGATGGAAATTAGTCTCCTTCTTTGGAATGGACATAAATCTGCTTTCCATTGCTTCATGTTAGATAAAGGAAAGGTCCATTATTAGGAAAGAAGGAGGTGGCATTTTCCCATCAGAGGCCTGCAGAGTATCTCTGAGACTATCAGAAGCCATCAGTCTATGAATAATACATACTGGATGGAACTGAAGTGGAAACCTGTATCAAATTCTTGCAAGATTCAAAAATAAAAATTTTTTCTTTGCAGAAAGCTTCCTTGTCTGTAGGGAAAAAAAAAAAGTAAAGGGTCCATGCACCAGACCAGAAACATATGAACAGATATACTCACAGGAAATGACAAAAGATGACACAAAGTGACCCACTCACACTCCTGCATGCACTCAAACATGCATGAAAACAGCCCTAATAAACTAATATTACACTATATGTTAACTAACTGGAATTTAAATAAAAACTTAGAAAAAAAAAACAGCACTAATGAATTCTGCTGAGAATCACAACAAAGACAATTTGCTCCTTCCAAAACATGGCAATATTTCAATATGATTAGCAATGAAAACTTGTCAAAATCATAGGAAAGTTTTAATTGTTTAATTATTTGAAATTAGTCACATTAACATTTACAGTTTTCTTAGGATAATATAGGGCTATATTTCTTCTAACAATATCTACAAGCATTCCATTAGAGAGACAGGGTACAGGAGGAAAGATGTAAGGAAGTAACTGTACGCAATGAAAAGAAGGGTGAGATGAAGAGCATGTCGGCTGAAATCACTTGAATTTGAAGTAGAAAAATCACACAGATCATTTTATCTACTCCTACATTTGTTACAGACAGAAATAAACAGGGAGTCAGGAAAACTGGGTTTTATTCCATTTTTGCCCCTGAGCAAGTCGCTAGACCCTCCAGTACTAGACCTGTGAGAGACACTGCTCTTAAATGAGGTTTAGTCTCCAAATTCTCTAATATTCACTCTAATTTAATTATCATCAATCCACAGTTGGCTAAAGAAGAGAGAATGTTCAACTCTCATTGCTGAAATCGTGTGTTATATTCTTTTCAAATAATGAATGCTAGAATTAAATTTTTTAAAAAACATCAGTTTGCCAAATATTGGCATTTTTTTACTTGTATAAAATCCTATTAATATTTCCTTTATTATTGGCCCATTTAAAAATAACTTTGTCCTGAGTAGAATACAGTTAACCTTGTTTCACCTCTTAAAATAAATAAGCTATACCACGTATACCTGTGCAGATTTGCGTATTTGTGTTCAAATGCACAATCATACAAAAAGTAAGTTTGGTTTTACTATCATGCAAATTAAGTGATTAGTGTTAATAGAAAAACAAGCCTCATTCAGTCCAAAAGCATAACAGTAATATATTTTTGGACCAGACTATCTTCTAGAAAATGCTTATGCTCTTTCTGATGTAGGTAAAAAACTGAACAGACACACAGTTTTATATCATGTCCAAATAGCTTTACTTTGACTGTCTTAATTTCCTAATTTGCTTTCATATTACATCATTATATTGCTTTTTAAGTATATCCTAAAATCAATACAGTATATGAACTTTCATTTTTGTAGGGGGCCTTGTGGACTTCCTACTGTATAATACAGTAAGTTTTAAATGTTCAAGCTACACAATTATTAATGTCTAATGAAAGATTTTTATTATGTTATTTAAGATTTTAAATTAGAATTCATTGTGATGGTCCTTACTCTTATATATATGGATGGGACAGAATTCAACAACTGAGAGTCATTCTTCTGATCCCATTTCTTAAGTCTAAAGAGTGCTTATTTAAAAGTAGAATCTATGTCCAAAAATAACTACTATCTCTATGTGATTATTTTATTAAATATTTGTACTTGGAAATGATGCTATAAACATTTTATTTCACTGTACACATTCAAAATCTAAATATATTTTCATGTGTCTTTTTTCTTGATGTATCACTGAGCTGCAAGAAAGAATTACTTTTTAAATAACTTTCCTTCCAAATAAAATGGAATCACCTATGATCAAATATTGTTTCTTCTTTTTATTGAATCCATAAGACTCTGGAAAAAATAGCTGAACATGTTATATTCCTCAGCATGTTTTCATAAATTCACAACCACTTCTGAAATCTTTAGAACACTGATTACAACACATTAACACATTTATTCAATAGTTTATAATAAGATGATATTATTAAATAACTATAAAGTGAAAATTATTAAATTTAACTCAACGCAAAATACTTGTGTTAAGATTATTAACCTCATTACTATTTATTAACTAATTTATAAAAGAGATGATCTTAAAAGTTTCTTCAATCTCAAAGTCTATTAGGTAATGTTTGCAAATCTAGACGCATTTGGGGTAAAGAAATACGATAGGCGTTTTTTTTCTAAAGTCATTTTAGGGATACCTGGGTGGCTCAGTGGGTTAAGTGTCCAACTCTTGATTTCGGCTCAGGTCCTAATCTCAGAGTCTTGAGATGGAGCCCCAGTCAGGCTCTGTGCTGAGTGCAGAATCTGCTTAAGATTTTCTCTCTCCCTTTCCCTTCCACCTACCCACTCCCACTCACACACTCTTTCTCAAAAATTAATTAATGATTTAAAGTTATTTTGTATTTAAATTGAAAACTTAGAGAAATTGGAAAGAAACCATCTTCCTACCTTAGCACACATTCTTGGTATTTTTTACAGCAACTTTCAGGTTTGTTTCCCCCACATGCTTAGCTATATGCACTGTGCAGATAGTTTCCATTAATGTTTTATCATATACAATTTTTTACCTCACAGGATCATTAAATCATCTTTATGGTGTAGAAAAGTCCACAAAGTGTATTTGCCATAATTTATTCACCATTTCCCTGTCATGCCATTAGGTTGTTTCAAATTTCTATCACTATAATTGTATATTGTAATCCTTCTTCCAGATTTTGAAACATTTCTTTATAAGTATTCTCAAGAATAAGATTTCTGAAGCAATGTGAATAGTCATTGTAATGACTCTTGATTCCTATGCTAAATTTCTTTCTAAAGAGTTTGTCACAATAAACCCAGTAATGTATTTTGTCAAATTCCCCAAGAGCAAATTTTAACAAACAAACAAAAAAACCTTCAATTTTGTTTGCAAAATATAATGTCTTCATGGTTTACGTGTCTACTTTCTGGTAAATATAATGAATTATTTGACTTTGAACACATAATTATGTATTATTACTTAAAGCGTTATTAGATCTCTAAATAACATTTTCCATGTGAGTAGAGCCTTTCTATTAAAATAGGTGATCTTCTGTAATTACAGTTCTGTATGATGATCATAAGGACATCAAGTAAACATCTGAATTTGCTGTAATCTCTTGATAGCACCACACCAGCTTTATTATAATGTTTTGTCTTCCCTTTCCTGTGCAAACATCTTCCCCACTAACAGAAACTCCTAGGAAATTAAATGTAAAATAAATTTAATACTTATCCAGAACCACAGTATTTTAAATATGAATCTGACAAACTGCTGATATTTTTCAATGTATCCAAAAGAAACCACAGGAAGTTTAGACTTAATGATAGTTATTTTGGACTTTACAAAATAGTAACCTAATAAAGAAGTGAAAAATATGTCTGTTGTTTTTCAGGTCACAAATATGTTCAGTGTAACACTTAACATGCTCTTTGCAAAAAGCATGATCAGCTCTTAGATAAACCAAGACAAACTGGGGTTTAAACTCTTTATGACACTAAGCAGTTTACTTAACTCCTCAGCAGCTTCATCTGTCAAGTGAATGTAATAATGAGACTGTAACAGCTTTATTTTGATTATTAAAGAGATGATGCATGCCTGCACAATAAATTCTCCAAATGGCAGCTATCATATGAACACTTGGGGTTTAATTTCCCCCCTTGAACCTCATTGTTCCATTTACTTAACTACCCATATTCCATCAAACAATTTAGGTAGACTCTAACGAAAGGAATCACTATCATCTAGTTGATTTATACTTTTTAAATATAGCACTGACAAACACCAAAAACAGACACAACTTCCTAAATGATCTGCACCAGTGAATATGATTTATAGCAAATTAGTTATTATGAACTCAAGTATTACCAAGGTACTCGGATAATGTTACAAAGCACAGCCACGTGGAGATAGGAATAGAGTCTATGTCCTTGGATGTGCTGAGGAACAGCATCTTCTTCATGTGCCTTCATATCTGTATTTTAAGAATTAAAGTAGCACGTTTTATATCTTAATAGTATCCTTCTAAAGACATTATCTTTACAATTTGGAAAGTTTTTCCTAACCAATAATATCAGTGAATTTTAAATATTCTGAGTAGCTTTCAATTTAATCATACTTTGCCACTATATACGTAGCATGCATCCTTTAAAAAAGTAAATATTAAATAAAATGTATGACCCTGATAAAGCAAAGAGGATCCATAATGTTTTTATAATGATAAAATGTATTCACTTTATAATTTCAATTTTTAAAATAAATATTTAGGAGGTTCTAAAATAAGAACCTTTGTCTCTAATCACTGGGTCACCTAAAATCTGTAAAACACATATGATATTTGTAAAATAGTGAAGTCTAAGAATGTCTTGTTTTCATCAAAATAGGATAGTAAAATGCTACGTTGAATAACATAAGTCTTAAATTAATGCCTAAGAAGAATTTTTAAAAGGCAATTAAATCTGGGGGAAGGAAGGCATGGAGAATAAGAGAGCCAAGATCCTTTGTATTTTGAGTGTTCTTCTGTGTATGACTTGGACCTCAATGGAGCTTGTGAACCATTAACTTCAATTACACTGAAAACCCCAAACAAACCCTGGGCACTATAAATCTCATTAATTTTAAACACATGGGGATTGGAATAAACGGACTTTGAATTAACTCAATCCAAATTACCTAATATTAAAATATAATTGGAATTCAGTTGCTTTAAATTGCTTGCCAGTCTGAAAGGCAGACTGCTATACCAAGGTTTATTATAATTTGTCTATTTTTGAAGTTTCAGAATATCTTTGTAAGTAAGGTGTGACTCCAAAATTGGAAAAATAAAGGAATTTCACTGGTGCTTTCATATATTTCCTTAGTGTCGGGGGACATTTTATCAAATTTCAGCTCTAGACAAGGGAAATTTTACTATGAGTTGGTTAAACTAAACATTAAATTTGAAACAGAAGTGTCAACTGCTTAATATACCTGATAATCTATTATTCTTAGTAAAACTGTAATTTCTATATTTGTAGGTTTCATACTCTTATCCTTTCTAAAGTGATGAGGCAAAGTATGATTTTAATATCAGCTTAACCATAAATGAAAATATAATCATAAGAGGAATAAAAAATATTTGCTAAATAATAAGAATAAAAAATATGTTGCTAAAAAAAAGATAAATCATTTTGAAACAGCCTGCCACTTTTTGGAAGTCTTGTATCATTATCCCTATACACTTATAAAGTCACTGTTTGAAAATATTATAACAATTTTGTGTTATTTGTACTAGTCTTTATATTTGATTATTAAGTGTTTGAGAGCTATATTTCAACAGGTCCCCAAATATCAATATTCTAATTATAAGTAAAAAAACTGTTAAACCTAGGATAAATGTGCATGCACTCTATGTCTCTCCAAGTTACATTTCCAGGAAACTATGAAAAGTAGATAATAATGAAAGGCAATCCACCTTCAAAGTCCATGATATGCACATACAGCATGTGAATACTGATACCTGAGAAGAAATGTGCTTTGAAGCCCTTCTTGGATACAGTATTGTCAGATTTGAATTCAATTCGCATATTGTTGAACTGAGATGTGATCACGTCAGGCACTTCGGCACCACAAAATTTGCCATGCAACTTAGACTCAGAGGAAAGGCCACTCCAAATCTCCACATAATCGTATTTGCAAACCTAGAAAAGACATGGTTATGACAGTCACCAGATTTGAAAGTATCAAGTGGTTGACATTTACTTTTGAAAAATTTATCATGTTTTTTCCCCTCTTTACTCCTCTGGTAGTCAAACTGGAATTAATATGTAAAGAAAAAAAATCAGGGAAAGAGTCCAAATATGAGGCAGATGGCATGAAAAATAGAGAATTTTGCTCTGAATATCTCTAAGAGATATATATACCAATGCGTGCCTGTTGACATGTATTTACAGCATGTATCTTTTCCAAAAAATAGAGTTTAGGAGAACTGAGATACATATTTGTTGAGACAATGGTGCTGATGGTTACAAGAACAGTATTTGCTGACTTTAAAAAAAAATTGTTTAAATTTTCACTAGGAACTGTGAAAGAACTTGTCCTCTCTGTCTTATTTAATGCCGAGAACAGTGACATGAAACTGATACAACTCGTCTATGAAATGACCATTAACAAGAGAAATGTTCCTTTCTATGGTAAAAAAGAGAAAACTGAGGTTCAGAAATTTCTAAATAACTTGTCCAAAATTATACTTATCATATGTAGCAGTTTAGTGAAAATAGCACAGAGTTTGGCTTGGTCTGATGCTGCCTCCCGGAAAAACTATGTTCTAATCAGAAGAGCACCCTTAGGAAATTTCAAAGGAGACAGACATTGGAGGATACAGTAAAAAGGATACTTTGCCTTTCAAACTTATCAAACAAATTGTTATTTCTTAATTTCTTAGAGTTGCCAGGCACTATAAAATTACTCTTGAGCTATGCTGCAGGATTGCAAACAAATCTATGTGGTGGAATGGAGAGGGGAACTGACACTCCGGTGAAGCAGACTTATTCTGATTTATATGTAATGCACTAACAACACCGAAATGGAAGAAGCTAAGTGAATGCCAGGTATTCTCTGCAATTTTACAGCTTCCAACAGATGTTTCCATAATACACTTCTCCAAAGTTTCAACAGAGCACATTCTAAAGAATACATCTTGCATGAATGACCTTATTACATAAATGTCTAATTAGCAAAGTTTCACAATGCATACGATTGAACCCTGGGGCCTGATCTGTACTTTGCAATATGTCAACTCAAATGACTGGTTCTTGTGATATTAATTAGGTGATAAATAAGCAAAATATTGCTAGGAAAGTTTTTAAAAGTCTTCTATCTACTTTGTTACAGCTGCAACATCCATTTTCAGAGGGCTCTGACATAGGATAGGAGAATGTTACTGAGGTTAAAGTTGTTTGACATCATTGATATATATATATATATATATATATATATCAATATAACAACTAAAACAATGAAGTAAAGTTTTAACTTAACCCAGTAATCTATAAGTCAAGTTTTTGCTCATGCCTTCATTTTAAGTAAATAAGACATCAAACCACAAAAACGGCCTTTCACATAGCAACGTCATTCTAAGTTTAAGAAACTTGGGATATGTTAGAGAGTTTGTGAAGGATCCTCCCAGGAATAAAGACCACCACCATGGAAAGAATGCTTTCAGAATACAATGACCCATTTATTTCAAACCCTCTACCCTCCTTCCTCCTGAATACAAACTTCCAGCCTTCATAGTAACATCTTTCAACTAATGAATCAAAATGTCATATCAGTCACAGCTGATCGCTTTAGGGAAAATGGTAAGAGTAGAAGTCATTCAACAACAAGTTCAGGTCAAATCACAGAACCGGTAGGGAGATTACCATGTTAAAAAAATGTTGCTCTTATGAAAACTTTTCTAAAAATGCTATAAAAATATTTTATTCATTTTAATAGTTCTCTAAATTTCAGGTAATCATTAAGGGAGAATTTTGTTTCATGTGGGCAAAGTATGTTAGAAATATAAATAGCAGATTTTACTATCATAAAACAGAACACACAATGTAAGGAGGATCTTGAAAGGTACACTGAGCTCTAATACTGTATAATTCTCTAAAACATGTAAGTTCATCACATTTTAAACTTTAATATCTTTTAAGGAAACACAAAAGTCAGCAACTTCTTTTTACCTCAAAGCCATCAGTAGCACTAAAAAATCCACATAAGTGCCTTGACTAAAATAGGCAGAATTAAGAGGAAAAAAATTCATTAAAAAGAGATAAAGAAAAGTGGGGGGAGGGGGAAGAAGCAAAGATACATATACAAAGACAACATAATGGTATAAAATCCACAAATATCATCAACAATCATTGCTCAGGAGCATAAATATACTATATTTCTGTTTTTTCACTTCTTTACAAGTGTTCAACAGATGTATACCAGATACAAAATAATATTTGAGTTAATTTTATCGTACTTAAAAGATTTAAATCATGTTCATTTTAAAATAAACACAGAAAAGAAGTCACTGGAAGAAAGGATATGGAAATTAGAATGAGAAAAGAAAGTAAGAAAGCTCAAACAAAACTGAAATTCAGCCAATGTTGACCAACCACGCAAAGGACACAGCTCTGAAAGTTCTCATTTCTAGGATTAACATTCCATTTGAATTTGGTGTGTGTGCACTAGCACACAGGAACTCTCAAATAAATGATTTCACTTGTTTGAACGTGGTCACATGGAAGAAAACTGGACCTTTATCACAATAAGTTACATTTTATAAAGGAAAGATAGTGTCAACTAAATGCATCTTTGTTAAGATTGAAAGTATACCAGGTTCTCCTAACTGGCTATATTTGTTATGACTCAACCAGTAGATTTTGAATTTTGACCAATTGTTTGATTTTTTTTTTCTTTAGAAAAGTCTATGTGACATGAAGCTGACCCTATTTTTTTCATAGTTCTTCTGTAGATCAAGAAATTGCTATATATTAATATACTATGTAAAACTCCTTCTGGGTATTTTTCAATCTCCCAGAATTAGTCTAAAATATTATCCAATGCCAACAGGAATTACAAGCAATTGTAGAAATGAACAGGAGAACAAAGACAGACTATGACTTCTCTATGGTTATACTACTGAAATCCATCCCCCCTCCCTCCCTCCATCCCTTGCTTCCTTCCTTCCTTCCTTCCTTCCTTCCATTTACCAGTTTGTCTTCAAAGGGTCCCAAAACACAATAGAAAAAGTTATGTTTATTATTCACTTACTTCATTGCCCTCCAATTCAAAAAACTCAAACTTCATGGAAATTCTGTATTGGGTTGGTGCAACCACCTGCCACACACAGTTTTTATTAGGAGGGTACTCCTTGGGCCATCCTGGAGTGGTTATGGTGCCATTAAGCTTGGTAAGAAGTCCACCACAAGCCGCTAGAAGGAAATAAAAAGACAAGGTTTTCCCCTAATAGAGTCAACTTCTTCTTAGCACCTTTCCACTGACAACCAAACATCTCAGCATTCAATTTCAATCATCTTCCAGATTCTTCAAAATCTAGAAAGTTGCAGTCTCTGTTCCTTAGTTTGTAGTACAACTATTTTAATCATCAAATCCCATTCATAAGATGTTAATCCGTAGCTTTGGACCCAAGCAAAATACGGCTATATGACGTTTCAGATCACTCTCAAAGTTAAAGAAGCAATATAAAGAAAACTGGGTGTCAGTTGTCTTATCTTTTAAATGGGTATAATAATATCTATACCATATTGTTGTTATGAGAATTAGTGGAAAGATAAGCATAAAGCACACTACAGTCCAATGTAATGAAACCAAAATCAACTGCTTATTTCTTCAAATTCTTTTTCCCTAAGATAAGCAATTCTTGCAGTTACTTGAGTTAGTAAACAAAATAAACTAGAATAAGGAGGTCATTTTATCATTCCAAAACTCCATTTAACAACTATCTTCATCTTTTGAATGATCTATTTAAAAGGGGTAGCATTTAATATGTTACTTCTCTTCCTTATTGTTAATGAAATTAGCAAAATAATGGAATCCAAACAAAAGAGAACATATATTGTACAAGGTATGTAATTAAATCCAAGGGAGTCAAGAGTTACCTAAAGTAACCAGTCTCTTTAATAGCCTTTGTGTATATACATGCACAAGCATCACACACACATGTGTGTGTCTGTGTGTGTGTGTGTATGTATATTATTGCATTTATAAATGTATTGTAAAAAATAACCTGTACTTTCATACTTACCACTTTTTGGTGAATTATTAAAAAGTAAAATAATTATTTTTTAGGCACCAACAGAACTAATAGTCATGCTACCTTAGTATTGTCTGGTACATAATGTTCTCTGTTTAAAGATACTACATTGCCTTCATAACTGTATCTATTTTATTCTAGTACAGAGAGCAGATTAGTAGTTTAATAGATAGGATGAGACTTTTGCCCAAGAGAAAATTTTAAACTTTTAAGTAGAAACGGATAGTCTCTGACTTTCTTTATTTAGGTCAGTTAAGGGTATGGCATTTATTCATTAAGCAAGTAAGTCTGTCACCTTTACCACTGTTATGTCCTGTATTACAGATACAGTAGAGAACAAGGTGCTCATTTTTGGGGAATTTACATTTTACATTTTTGTGAGAACCACCAAAAGTAAACTTAATAATTATGTAACTATAAGTAATGTTAAACTACTACAAGTTCTATGAAGATGATTTTGGCAGACATGTTGAGAGACAAATCAAGGAGGAATAGAACAGAGGAAGGAAGATAAGCCCCTTTATGTTGTAACTTAAGTATGGGGCTTGAAATATGGTGGCACAGGGGAAATGAGGGGGGAAAAAGAGCAGCTTTAAATTCTGAAGGAAGTGATCGTAAGACATGGCAACAAAACATTGTGCAGGAAATATCTTAGAATGTGTAGAGGAAATGGAGAAAACACAGCAAAATCTCTTTGTTTATGAATCATTTATTAACAAAACAGACTTAGCTCCTGCTTTATGTTTGTGCTAGATGCTAGAGATACAAAAATAATTCAGATTCAGGATTCTGCACTTTAGTAAGGGAGAGGGACCCATAAACTATGTTAAGAAAAAGTAAAAATAAATGGTAGATGGATGGATAATATCTAGACCTAGACAGAGATAAAAATAGAAATAGATATATAGAGAGATGATATAGGTAAATAGAGTAAGAAAGAGAGAGGGAGAGAGAGGAGAAATACATAGAAATAAAGATCAGATAAATAAGATGGCCTGGTAACCAAAGGAGGAAATGACTGATTCTGTAACAAGCACACAGGCAACGCTTCATGTTAATAATGACTATCAACTGAGTCTTATCAGTTGAGGAAAGAGGTTACTATAGAGGAAAGGAAGGGAGGCAGAGGGAAAGAGAATGAGAAGGTATTAAAGAAAGAAGGAATGGGGTGGCGGGGGTGGGGTCAGGGCCCCGGGGTGGTGCAGGTTCATGCCAGGAGCTCTACATGCAAATGCGACCCTACCTTCACAGCTCCTCTTGTCAGGTCCCAGTTCATAGCCAGGCTCACAAGCACACTGATAACTGCCCAGTGTGTTCAGACATCGCTGCTCACAGCCCCCATGGTCAGGTTTGGCACACTCATCTTCCTCTACAAAGATGGCGAGAGAGGTAGAGAACAACCAGAGTATTATGTTTTACAAACTAAGGTGTGAAATTTTTTGAAAATATGACACTTAATAACTGAATGAAACAAAGACAACTGATTTCTTCTACAAAGGAGCAGGAACAACTTGCAAGCCTTTGATAGATTGCATACCAGAATTCATGCTGCTGCAATCTAAGAGTTGTGTAAGAACCAAGGGCAGGACTAGAAACATAGCGGTGCCAACTGAAGATCACCTTATCTTCAACATGTATGTGGGTTGTTTGCTTTTTTGTTTTTTCTAATTCCAAGGCCAAAGGGAATTCTTACAACACAGAGAATGCCCAGAATAAAATAGAAAAACTTATTGAAAAAACAGCTTCACTTGTTGATTTCATAGTATAATTTGCTAGATATTCTGAAAAATGCTTTTAAAGAAATGCCATTATAAAGAAACAGCTTATGGTGAATATAAATTGAAAGAAAATTCTGAAATTTACTGAACCTCTTTAAAGTATTCAGTGTTTTTTATGCAGACATATTGATCCAGGAAATATAAAAATTCCATATTTTGTAGCTACATACACTGTTTTATTGTATATGGAAACATAAAAATGCATATATGAAAAATATATAAATATATATGTATGAAAAATATACAGTATTAAAACAATATACATGACAAGGTATTCCCTAATCTCAATTCCCAGGAGTAATCTAGTATGAGTTAAGAAAATAGCAAACAATATTCTTTGGAGAAATTCTGCACTGGCCAAACTCCAAGCATTTTTTTTTAAAGATTTTATTTATTTATTTGACAGACAGAGAACACAAGTAGGCAGAGAGGCAGGCAGAGAGAGAGGAAGTGAAGCAGGCTCCCCGCTGAGCAGAGAGCCAGGAGCAGGGCTGGATCCCAGGACCGCAGGATCATGACCTGAGCCTAAGGCAGAGGCTTTAACCCACTGAGCCACCCAGGCGCCCCATTGCAAGCATTTTTGATAACCAATATATAAGCGTCATAGGAGAGAATCTTGATGGTATGTTTCTTCTACTATAAAATACTACAAAGCTAATGCATGTAAATGTACAATTTAATGGATACTTTGAACGCATTTAGTGAAAGTACCAGGGTTCTCTGCCTTTCAAATCATATGGTGAATACCTAAGTAATTCTCAGGGAAAATACATTATACTGTTCTTTAAATAACACAAATGTTCGGTTATTAATTGCACTAAATTTTGACATACACAACTAAATCCATCATTTATTTTATAAAAGTCAGTGTAAAATTTTTTTTTCTCTCCCAGTAAAAGATTTATTTATAATGACACACTTAATGTTAAGTGCCTATGAATTTTCTAAATGCAAATTTGATGCTTTTTGTACTAAAATGGCTTTGTTTTGGGGTGCCTGTGTGGTACAGTTGTTTAAGGGTCTGACTCTTGGTTTTGATCTCAGGATCTTGAGATTGAGCCCTGAGTCGGGTTCTGTGCTCAGCATGGAGTCTGTGTGAGGATTCTCTCTCTTTTCCCTCCATACCCTCTCAAGTAAATAAGTAAACTTTTAAAAATAAATAAATAAAATGGTTCTTTTTACTTCAGTAATGCACACCAAATAAAGGAGATGAAAATATACTAAAATTTGGTTATGTGATTTAAAATTAAAGCTGGTCAATAATAATTCTTTGCCAAAGGACATTTTAGGTATCAGAAGAGTCTGCTAAGGAGGCCATACATTATTTCCAACATGGTGAAACATTATTCTCTACAAGGTGGTTTAGAAACGCTGTCACCTGGAAATAAATTAATTAATGACTTCTTCTGGATATGAATTTTATGCTGACTACATTGCAAATGTTTTTTCCCTGTTTAAATTCCCTGTCTGGATTTTGCCATTTTGAGCATTTCATAAAAATGGATGGTAGGATATCCTAATGGAGTTCCTGCCCTGTGCTACAAAGTTCCAAATTCCAGTATTTTACCATTGATCTTTCACATCAAAAATCATTCAAATATGCCTAATGCACAGTGCAGGATTAACTTCCAGTATACCTTTTCTGTAGTTCTCTCTTAACTCAATGTTAAATATCACATTTTCCCCTAACAAAGAAAATCTTACACTTTGAATTACTTCAAATTACCTTTAAAGAAATTGGCAGCAAACCCTGCCTTGTTCACAGTTCCATCAGAAACAAATTTCATCCACAAGGTATTGGAGGTAGATTTGATATCTTCAGGTTTATCATAACCACAGAAACGCCCTATCAAAGGACTATTTTCACTGGTTCCATCTCGAACTTCTAGGTAGTCATAGGCACAGTTGTCATGTCTTTCAATCTGCAACAATAAAAATATGGGAAGATATATCTCATTAATAGATAAAACAATTTTTGTAGAAAGAGTATTATGTGTTCTCAGTGCCATAGTACTGACAGGGTCATCTAACAAGTTACTTATACCAAATGGGAGCTCTTCTTGTGAGCGTGCATGACAATATCTATACCACCCATGAATAAAGGGCCTATTTTTCTGGTTGACAGAGAGAGACACAAAAATCTATGGAACAGTGTATCCACATGCGTCACAATCAACAGAAGTCAGCTGCATTTTAAAAAAGTAAAATAAAATGTAAGTACTAATCCTTTGGGGAAAAAGAGCTAAAAAAAATCCAGACTTAAAATTATCATTAAAAATCTGAATGAGATATTCTATAAGCAATGTATAATTTATTCTGTAACATAAAAATTGTTAGTTCATCAACAAAACTATTAATTTATTCATAGAGAAGTCTGATTCAATTCTGTTGATAAATATTGCACTGTTTTAAATTATAAATCTCTTTTTAAAGGAAAATTTGGTAATATGAAATTACATACTTCCTAGTCTATATAATTCTTTACCGATAGCATAGCTGTAGCAAGTCTATTGTATGTAGAATCAATACTGACTATTCCTTCCTCAGGGTAATATGGCTGTTCAGGTGAGCCCTTTTACCCCAATACACTCTTCTTAATCCATATAACCTGCAGGAACTCAATATCTTTCCTTAAAAAATTAAATGCAAGTAAGATCTCAGACCCATAAAACTTTAGGAAGAACTTCATGCTCATGGACCTATGTTTTAGCCCCAAACTTCTAAAAACAACAAACCAAAATTTATAAATTGTTTTTCAAACTATAAAACAATTTCTAAATAAAATTCTTACCTTTTTTCCTACATAAAGTGGGTATTAGCCCCAAACTCTTAATAAGTTAAATACTTATTAGATATTTAAATCTAAAAAATACAAGCATCTAAAATCAATAAGCCGTGAAAAGTATCACATCCTGTCAACTCACAATTAACATACAATTCACTAATTTATGGAATTCTTCTATTAAAAAAAATGAGTGTCAAAGAATACATTTATTCCATAGAACCATGGTCTGAATCAATGACAGCTGGTATAGCTGGTTGAAGAATCCATTTCATAATTTTGTCAATACATTAAGAATGATAACCTTCAAATGAGATACCATATGGACAAATAGAAAACAACAGATTCTGAAGGACAGATTAGATCAAAACTAATTACTACATTTGCTGCTCATCTTTTCCCAACCACAAATCAGGATGCATTCACTCCTTCAACAAATATTCAGTGTCTGCTCGATGCTAGGCGTTCTTCTCACTGCGTGGTGTGCATCCTTTAGCAAAATAACAAAGAGCCTCACCCTCCTGGACCTTACATGCTACTGTTGGGTAGAGAGCAAAGGGATAACAAACAAGATAAACAGTGAAATTATAAAATATTTGCAACCAATAAATTCTATGGAAAAATATAAAGTGAAACAAGGTGAAAGGTATGAAAAGTGGGGAAGCGAAGTTTATAATCTTAAATATATAATCTTAAATTATACCACCAGTATTTGGGTTTGATTTACAAATCATGTTTTTTCCTAAAAATGTGTTTTCTTTGTATGTGAAATTAAGGGAAAGAATGGGAAAATGTTCACTATAAAAAGTATCTCACTTTTGGGCACGTGGGTGGTTCAGTGGGTTAAGCCTCTGCCTTCAGCTCTGGTCATGATCTCAGGGTCCTTGGATCGAGTCCCGCATCGGGCTCTCTGCTCGGCAGGGAACCTGCTTCCTCCTCTCTCTCGCTGCTTGCCTCTCTGCCTACTTGTGATCTCTTTCTGTCAAATAAATTTTTTAAAAAATCTTAAAAAAAAAGTATCTCACTTTTAAAGCATATTTTTAAGACTACAGCTGTTTAAATAGAGAGATGGTCTGGGAGAGCTAACAGTGACACTAGTAACTTAATTAGTCACCAGGGATGATAAGGCCAATCTGACCAGCTATATTATATGTTGTCTTTTCTCAGTCTTTAATATACTCCTTCCAAAATCACAGTTCTCTATAAATATGAGAACATTTCCAGATGGCCAAAGGGCTTTCTTCGGTCAAGGGGACACATTTTCATCCCAAACTCTCCAGGTATAGGCTTGATAAAAGAATGAACAACAGTGAACTGGTGACAAACTGTAGAAAATAAGAGAGGTCTCAGCAAGCTCCCCTCACCTGCCTGGGTGAAAGGCACAGAACGGATTGCTCCTGACTCAGGAATCATTTTGGAAGAAAAAGGAAAGAATGAATTAGAAGAAGAAAGGAAATGAGAATATACAATAAAGTGGCTCCTTTTCATAGGTCAACTAAGAAAAATAAAATTGGTTGATATTATAAGCCATACTAGAATAAAAAATAAGAAGCCTAATGAGAAAGGGTTTTTAATTTCTGTTTTGAGGAAACAATGGCTTTCAAAAATTACTATGTTAACAAGGAAGAAACCAAGATAGACACTACCAAAAAAGAAACCAAAAAAACCTGTACTTTGTTCTTCTAATAGATACATAATAGATCTCTTTAAATTTCAACTTAAAGTATCTGCATATTTACTGTTTACTTAGCAAAAAATTAGAGGTTTAAATATTTTATATGATAAACAAAGTATAAATATTTCATGGATAAAAGGCATGAAAATGGTCAATTTTAGGATTAATTCTACCGTTACCTATTAATGAATTATGTATTTCATACATATTAAATATTATGCACTTTGTGTAAGGGGTAACCAAACAGAAACTTATATTGTATTTTCACAAAGCAAATGCAGTTGTTCCTGCCTAGAATGTAAAATGTGCCTCATATATATGAATTTATGATATTTAGAAATGCATTATCCCTTTAAAACACTCCTAGATATCTTATCAATGACCTCAAGGATCTTTACATATTTTTCAGTATAACTCCTTAATTCTAATTGTAATGTGTGCACAATGAATCTTCCCTATTGGTGTTAATTATGATTATAGCTCTTCAACTACATCTACACAAGAGTAATGATGGTGAGCACAAATGAAAGTTTGAGTTCTTTTAGTTATGTCATTTATGTAACATTTTCTTCAGCTATATCAATTACTTCATAAATTGACATACAGAATGGATAGAAATAAATCTGGTTGAGGCTAAAAAGTGGATAAGTCCATTGGTATTTTGCCAGTAAGCTCCATAAGAAGGAAGAACAACAAAGTCAATGATTTATAAAAACAAAAAAGAAAAAGCAGTTTCTTTTCGAGTTACAGCATGGACCCAGTTCCTATCTGGAACCTGAATGCAATGTCGTGCACAATTACACATCTAATAAATATGTTTTGATAATGATGATGCTGATTTATTACAGACTTCAAGATAATCAGAGCACAAACCATATACAAATGTGACAAGTTTATCGTAATGTTAACAGACCTAATATGTACATATAGAACACAACAAAAGTGACAGTAAGCACTGAACAGTTTTTAGGAAACTGAAATTTAAAAGATACTGGAAGGAGATTCAAACACACAGAAAAGAAAGAATGAGTACAAAGGTTAGCCAGAAGGGATTAATATTATATTTCATTACTATGTAGAGCTCAGGCCTTTACTGGCAGGTTAGAAAAGAAGCATGGAAAAGCTGAGTGATGTTTATTTAGCAAGAACTAAAATCAATTAAATGCAACCTAAAGTAGTCAGCCTCTCATTCTAAAACTGCAAACCAGTGCTGAGATTTATGGTCGAAAGAAAGGACCAGGCCCAGGCTTAGGATCCATTCATACACTTGGCCTTCATTTTATAATCGAATTTCCAAATAAATATTACAAAAAATCTACCTAGTTATTTGTAAAAAGCTCTGAAAACTCCAAAACTTCTAGATAATGATTTCAATAAAAGCTCCTCGATATTCCGTGAAAAACTAAAAATAGATTGAGAAGTTCTTCACTTGATTCAACAATCCCACTTCGGGGTATATATCTAAAACATTGAAAGCAATGGGGTGCCTGGGTGGCTCAGTGGGTTAAGCCTCTGCCTTCCACTCAGATCATGATCTCAGGGTCCTGGGATCAAGCCCCGCATCCGCCTCTCTGCTCAGCAGGGAGCCTGCTTCCCCCTCTCTCTCTGCCTGTCTCTTTGCCTACTTTTGATCCCTCTCTGTCAAATAAATAAATAGGATCTTAAAAAAAAAAAAAAAACTGAAAGCAGGGTCTGAAAGAGGTATTTGTACCTTCATGTTTATACCAGTATCATTCACACTAATCAAAGGTGGAAGCAATCCAAATGTCCATCAATGGACAAATGAATCAACAAAATGCCGACTATATATGCATGGAATGTTCTTTAGCCTTAAAAAGGAAGGAAATCCTTTCATGTGCTACAACATGGATGAACCTTGTGGATGTTACACTGAGTGAAATAAGAGTCAGAAAAAGGCAAAAACCAGATGATTCCACTTACATGAGGTACCTAGAGTAGTTAAATTCATAGTGACAGAAAGTAGAAATGTGCTTGCCAGCACTTGGAGGCAGGGGAGAAAGAGGAGTTGTTTGGGGGTATAAAGTTTCAGTTTTGCAAGATGAAAAGAGTTTTGGAGAATGGTTGCACAATGTGTATGAACCTAACACTACTGAACTGTACACTTTAAAAATGGTTAAGATAGTAAATTTTGAATTTTTTTATTTTACTATAATAATGAAAACAACCCTCTCCTATGACTGTTACAATGTAGTTTTAAAATATAATTAATATAATCCACTACACAAATGATTCAACTTCTACAAATAATATAACTTAAAATCATATACCCAGGGAACAATGTTAAACTCATTATTTTTTGCTTTGGAGGAAAAAATGTTCAATGAAAGTGTGACTAAAAAACAATGTAGATTAATATTCATCATTAAAAATTAATTTGGGGAATTTCCATATCTGTGTAGATTTCCCATATGTATACTACTACATATACTCTTGTTAAAATGATA